ACTCTCTTTTACAAAATCTCAGTCTTTTCTGGTTCTCTTCATGCACAATATAATTAAAACATTGTTTGCACTGACATTCACTTTGCTGCCTTGCAGAAGGCTGTGTCTGTTACAGCAAAAACTCTGATATGCCCACAAACACAGACCACCGCCCCCCCCCCAACCCCCCTGGTATATCAAATTTATGAGAACCAGGGCTTAAGCTGCTGTGGGAGGAGAATTCCTGGAAATTCCTTTATTTTGTTTTACCACAGTTAAACATAAATCACCATACTGTAGCTTTTCTGCATAAAATGCTGCACTTGTTGCAAACAAAATCATAAAAACACCACAAACACAACCCTACAATCCTGAGAATCAAATTACCACAATGCGGGTGAAGAACCACACAAACTCACCAGGGAAAGGTGGTATCTCTTAAAGTGCCCACTTTTCTCAACACAACACAGCAGAAATGTCCTCGCCCACGTTTCTCCACCTGTTCCACTTCTCCGAGGGGTGCTCCTTGCCCCAGATGGCACCCCCCAGGCTTCACCCGGTCACTTTAGATGCAAGTAGAACTTCCCCCCTGCACTGCAGGTACACTCACTCATTCACTCGTTCACTCTCTTTATACACTACGCGCTCACACAATTACAAACACAATGCATTAACCACACAATGTTCGGACACCATAAGCACACAAACGTCGGTTCATTTGACTCACCCCCAGAGTCGCTTGCGGTTGCTCTGTGGAACAATGAACCCATCTCCAGCCCAGCTGCTCTATCGGCCGGGCTGCCTGCAGGCCCAGGAACGGGCTGGGCACTCCGACATCTCTGAGTGACTGACCAGCAGCCCTGTCTCTCTCTCTCCCCAGGGCCCTCTCAGTACACACCATTTATCGGCACACCAGCAGGTCCTTGTCTGTATCTGCAGGTGGCAAGCCGAGGCAGAGCTGAGCCAAATTCCCCAGGGCATGCCAAGGAGGTCGACGCCGCTCCTTCTGCCCCTGCAAGGACAGAAGATCTCCTGCCTGGCTCACCAAAATGAATAATGGATTAAAAAAAATAAACTGTTCCAGGAGTCTTTTTTCTGAATCCCTACCTAAACGGACTCTCTTTCCATTTGGATCCATTCTCTCCTGTCCTGTCCCTGCCTGCCCTTGTACAAAGTCCCTGTCCAGCTTCCTTGTAGGTTGCCCTCAGGTACTGGAAGGCCCCAGTTGGATCAAGCCCAAGTCCTTTTCCCAGGCTGAAGAAGCTGAGCTGTCTCAGCCTTTCCTTGCAGGAGAGGAGCTGCAGCCCTCGCATCATCTCAGTGTCCCTCCCTGGCACCTGCTGCAGCGTGTCCACGTCCTTGCCGTCCGTGCTGGGAGCGCAGCAGAGCCGGACGCAGCCCTGCAGGTGCAGTGCCAGGCGGGGAGGAGACACGGCCCTGACAGCGGCTCCAGGAGCGGCACTTGGCGAGTGGCCGCCCGCACTGCAGAGAGCCGGGGCCCTCGTGCCTGCCCTTCTCCTCAGGGCTCCTTTCCCCTCCGCTCGCCTGCCTGCCCGCTCAGGGGAAATGCCCCGTGTGCCTCCCTCGGTGCCACCCCTCGCCCCTGCCCCGGGGGCTCCCCGGGGCCATCTCGAGGGCCCCAGGCCTTGGCCCCACCAAGCTCAGCTCAAGGCTGTGGAAAAGCAGATTAAAACACCCAGCCAGAAAGTGCCCTAGGATTCCAAGGTCAATCTTTTGCCTACAGCAGGGCTTTGCTATCAGAGTCTGGACGGGATTATAAAATAACCAGGAGAAACAAGCATGAACAAGTTCTGCTTTGGCAGTAGCTCCAGGCTTTGAGGGAGAGGGTTTGTGGTGCATACTCACTCACAGGGATGCACAGAAAGTGCTGAAATGGTCAAAGTAGTCACAACCCATTAGAAATTGGAAGGAAAACCTGAGGCACTGTCAGCTAGCACCTCAGAAACCCGTGACTTTTGCTCCTCTCTTCGACTTGAGAGCTTCCATGGCAGGGGCAAGTCTTCCAATTGCATCAGTGTGGCCATGGCTGGAAAGGGCAGCGAGCAGATGGATTTAGCTTCTCCTGCCAGCCCCTGAAGTGCCAGTTGTCATTTGTGTGCGCTGAGGATTCCGCTTCAGACTCGGAACTGGCGCAGCTGCTCCTGGGCGCTGCTGGCACGCGGGCGCAGCGGTGCTGCAGCAGCTGTCCCGCACACAGGGAGGGCTCTGGAGCCTCCCAGGGCCCCCAAGGAGCGGAGCAGGAAACGTGCCAGGATCAGCTGCAGGACCGTGGGGTTGTGGGGGATCCTTTGGTCTCATGGATGGGGCAGGGAGGGGGCAAATGGAATCACGGTGAGACAGGGATCAGGCAGCCCCACGCCAGGCAGCGTTTTTGCCTCTGAGAGCTCCTCTGAGCTGAGCGAGCTGGTGAATCCTGCGGAGCAAATGAGACCTGGGAGTGAGGGAAGGGCTGGCTGGGAAGGAGTCAGATAAACCTGTGTGGGCATTTCCCTTTTCAACGGGCTCCTGGAGAGACAAAGGAGACAAGAAGGATGTCCCATCTCATGACATTTCCTGGAATATGCGTTTGTGGTGGCCTTGGCAGTGTTAGTGGTCTCAGGTTTTTGGGAGGACTCTGTGATCTTAAAGGTCTTTTCCAATGGAAACGGTTCTGCAATTCTAAACTTCCATTCCTGCTTTTGAAGGATACAGTCTCAAATAGACCCCCATTTATGTTTTTAAGGAATTTAGCATCTACCTTTCCTTGAAAGTAAGAGGAATCAGGCTATAAATGCTCTCAAAACACTTTAATTCCTTGCTCTTAAGCTGTGTGTTTGAATTTAGGTGCCTTTTTGAGCATGGGATAAATGCAGGAAATTCAGCTGCAATGGCACTTGTTTCATCTGCTTTTCTTCTTCCTTTCCTCATGGGTGGTTGATTTGGGAGTATTTGTCTTGTACTTTGAGTTCCAGCTTAGACTTGCTCATGGATGTGCTGTAAAATCCTATTTACCCCTTTCTACAAAAAAATGTTTGCAGACTGGTGGGAATTGCTAGAGACAAGGCTTGCGAACCAATCCCCAGGATGATTAGCCCAGTGTCCCTGCTTAAATCCAGGTATGCTTGTATTACAAAGGAGTGAACTATTCTAACTCACTGGCCCCCTTCCCCCTTTTTTTTTCTTGTAGCTCTTGGGGCAATTCCTGTGTGCCGTTTCCAATTCTTTGTTAACAAATGTGTGAAGGCATGATGCTGCTGTAGCAGCAGCCTGAGTTTGGTGGGAACATGTCCAAAGCACTGGGTCCCACAGCAGAGGGCACAGTGGGAGGCTTGCCTCTGCTGCCATGGCCATCCAGCCATGGGGAGAGCAGCTGCTGGGGCTTCCCCGATTCTGCCAACAGCAGTCTGCCTCCAGCATGTGGACTGTATGGCCATGATTTTGACAGAATGTGGAAAATGCGCTGTTTGAATGTATTGTGATGGTGTCTGACACCACCTGACTGGAGCAGTTTGGTAGGCAGGACGCCCTGTGGGCAGGGCCGTGGCAGGGATTGGTGGCTGGCACTGGCAGTGGCAGTGTTATTTTTCCAGACAGGCTCCTGGTACAGCTGTGGGGAGGGCACCAGCAGCTGTATCAGCCCAGGGAGCAGCAGCACATGGAGGAGTCCCTCATCTGCAAAGAGACCATCACCCCCTTTGCTCCCTCCATGGCAGCGCAATATGATTCCGCCGCAGGTGAAGGGCTGCAGCAGGGCTGGAGGCTCCTTCAGCCAGGACTTGTTGCAATCTCCTTGCTGCAGCTGTGCCTGGAGGATGTTGGCCTGCAGCGGTGCTGCCGATGCCCAGGAATGCTGCCCGGCCCAGAGAGGCAGAGTGTACAAAAGCTGCATTCAAAGCGCTGATCGCGAGACCCTGGAGCCGCTGGCAAGTGCAGCAGCTCTCCTTCATTCCGTGCAGGTGAGAGCCCAGCCTTGGAGCCTGTCCCTGGGGACAGGGAAATGCTCTGAGTATAGTTTTGAATTTTCAGGGACAGTCCAAATTAGAATTGTTTTGGTGCAGGAGTTGTAATGTTGGGTTAGGTGTGTCTGCAGGAAAGACAGTGGGAATAAATGAAGGAGAATTTTGCATGGCAAATTTACACTCTACAGTTACACTGATTGCATTGGCCCACTGCATACTGGGGGCATCTAATGCAGAGTGCAAAGCTTCTTTGAATAGATTGGAGAGAGGAGGCTTGAAGAAATGATTTTGCAGATGCAGAAAAAGGGATCAGACCTATGGGTCCCATGGCTCAGGCTTAGTTGTGCAAAATCAAGCATGATTAGTTTTATCCGCTCTGTTGGAAAGTACTTCAGAAGGACCTGCCTATTGTGCTATTTCCATGAAGAAAATTTTAAATTGTCAGGAACTGCCAAGATCAGAAATGTTTTGAGGCAGATCATGTTTATGTTGGATTTGGGTGTCTCTGCAATAAAGAAAGCATGGAATAAACCCCTGGAACAATGAAGCAGAGCAAAAGTGGAACGTTTGGATGGTCAATTTGTTCCCTACAGCTATTGGCCAACTGAATTCTGGGGTCCTGTACAGGGAGTGCAAAGCTTCTTTGACTTCCAGCACAGAACTAAAGGCCTTGAAAAGTAGCTTTGGAAAGGGTCTACTACCTGGACAGTGTGAAACCCTCAGGCCTGGCCTGGCTGGGCTTAGGGCTGGCTGCCCTTGGGAAGGGAAGAGAAGGAAAAGGGATGGAGTTGGGGTGGGGTTTTGCAGCCATGGAAACGAGAGAACCACTGGTGAACGCATCACAAAGGGGCAGCCCCACACTGGCGTTGTGACAGTTGTGGTTGACACGGCCACAGCGGCAGGAGACGCGTCTGGCTCTGCCTCTCTGTGCCCAGCGCTGGCGATTGGAGTCACCCGACCTTGTTCCAAGGCTGGGTACCAAGCTCCCGTCGCTGTCTACTCTGAGAGCGTTCCCAAATCCAAACCCAGACACTTCTGCGAGGCAGAAGCACGGGTTCAAACATGGATTTTACTGGAAAAGGAAAGACCACGGCAGGAAAAGGTGAGGATAGAAAGGAGCTGAAAGCCCCGAGCCAAATGGAAAAAAATCCCACCAGATTTCAGGGAAAACTGGTCCCTGATGGTCAGTGCTGGCTCTGTGTCAGAGTAGGTGACTGACAGATACAAATGATCCTGCAGGGATGCCCATGGCATCACAACATTCTGTTGTTAGTTTACTCTGTTTTCTCCTTTTGACAGTAGCCAAATCACCAGTATTGACAGCCAGGACAGGGACTGTGGCCAAAGCTGACCACAGATTGGACATGGTCATGAGATGCAAGTCCTGTTGCTTTCATTGCCATCAATGTTGGGTCTCAGTACAGATAAATTTCCCGTTCTTCCTCTGCTTGCGGATCGGGTCCAACCCTGAGGATGGTATTACGGTGCTACAGAAACACCACTAAGGCCTGCCTGCTTGCTGAGAGGTCTTTGTGGTTTGCAGAACTAGCAGTCACAGCTGTGTGGGTTTCTCCTGTGGATTCACAAGCCAGCCTAAAGAAGGAATCTTTTTTCCCCTCTTATCATTGGAGCCTTCCACCTTTCCCTTCAGACTAGCTAACTCAGTGCTGCTCAAAGGAATTAAATGCAGGCGAGTTCCATGAATAATAAAACCAAAGAAATTTCCTCAATAATTAAAAATTATTCCCCTTGAGTGCCACACCCATTAGATGTGTTGAGGATAAAGGTGGGAGTTCAGCTAACTCACTTCTTCCCTTGTGAGCATGGCTCAGCCTCACACAGAGGTGAGGGGGGAGCTGGGCCGCTCTCTGGTGGGAGGAAGGGTCCTGTGGCAGCCCAGAGAGCCTGTGCACATTGCCAGGGAACAGCTGTGCCCTGCATGTGCCCCTGCAATGAGCTGTGCTCTGCCAGAGCCCCTGGAGCTGTAGGGCTGCTCAGCCGTGGGGCAGGGAGAGGAGCAGGAGGGTGCATGTGCAGCTGAGCCATTCCTGGGAAGCACAGGGCTCTGGGCTCCTGCTGTCCCAGGGCAGCCCAGAGGCCAGGCTGTTCCTGTGGCAGCCCTGTGCAAGTGGGTCAGGGCTTTCCCCTGGCCTGCTCAAGTGTCTGCTGGCAGGAGCACGTTTCCCTGTGCAGCTGTTTAGAAATTGGCAGGAAATGTGTCCCATGAAATACAGAGCTCCAGATGCTTTAGGTTTGCATTGCTGCCTCTGTTAAACTTTGTGTGTCCACTTTGCAGGCCTGACTGGCTACCCTCTGGCCAAGAGGCTTTCCCTGGCAAGTCCCTCTATGCTCCTTCCTTCCAAGCCGTTGCCTCCCATTCAGAAGAGCTCTCCTTCTACCAAGACCAGCCAGATATTCAGCGGAGAGCAGGAGAATGGGAAAAATGGCAACAGCTATGATGAGAAAAGTAGAAAAATACAGGAGCTGAGTTCAGAGGGAACAGGATATAAGGTAAAGGGGACCAAGTTAAGTCCTGTGTGGTAAATTTTCAGTTTATGTGCCGTCAGCAGAGGTCTCAGACCTTTTCCTTGACAGGAACTGACCCTGTCTCTGAAGTTTTTGAACAGGTCCTGATTTGGCTCTTTAGCTGGGCCAGAAATGATGGGATATGAAGGAAAGGTGTGCATCTGCCCCTGCTGCCTCCACCCCCATTCCTGGCCATGGCATGGGGGCCCTGGAGGAACTTGGGCAGGCTGAGACCTTCCAGAGAGCAGCAGGGCAGGGAGCTCTGCTGAATTTCCTAAATGCCAGTGAGCCTGAGAAGATGGATGTGTGGGAGCGGGAGAGCAGGGAGCACCCTGAGAGCTCAGCAGCATCTGGGCTCAAAGGCTGCTGGGGAACTGCAGGAGGGAAGGGCAGCAGCAGAAGAAATGAGAGGCTTGAGAAAAGCAGGTTTTGACATGCTGCAGAGTGGCTTTGTGGGGACTTGGCTGGAGATCAGCACTGGCTGTTCGGTACCTTAGGGGCAGGGAGAGAACAGTGATCCAAAGCCACTCCCATGCCATCCAAAAGGCCAGAGGAGGCAGTGGCACCTCAGAACATTGAAGGTCTTGATGTCAAACATGTGAATGCCAGCTGGGAATGCAGCCAGTCTTGGAGAAAACTGAGCACAAGGGGAGAGGTGGCAAATATGTGACAAGGGCTGTCCCTCACCACATCCCTTCCCTAGGTCACCTTTCCCTGTCCTAGGCCAAGCTGCTCCATACATTTGACTTTTCCTGCCAGGTCCCAGTGAAATGCATGGCTAATTGTCTTGAGGCATGAGTGGAGGCAAGGCTGGATGCTTGATCTGAGCACTGTGTTCTACTCTTTCCAGACATCCTTGCTGTATTCCAGTGGGGAGGATATGGAGAAGGGGTCATTGGGACCACCTTTGATCCCCCCCATACGCAAGGCAGTAAGTCCCCCTCTTGGCAGTGCTGCGGGGTCTCTGCAAAGCTCTCTGCAGCTGGAATTCCAGGAGTCCCAGGAGACGAGGTAAGCCAAGGTGTCTGCTGCTGCAGTGTGCTGTTCACCTCCCTCTTCCCATCTCATGTGGTTCTATTGCACAGTCAGGTGTCCCATGTATTTAGGCAAACCTCTGAGTATTCACCATTTTGCCCATCCATGAGGATCCAGCACAATGTGGCAGCCAACACCAATGTCCCAAGAGCAGAGGTGGTGGTGGGGAGGAGGAGGCAGGGCTTCAAAGCACCTCAGTCTGGGTCCTCTGCTGGACTTGGCTATTGGTTCCCTCTGTAATGGTTGGGGTGTGTCCTGGTTCAGGGCAAATTTGGGAGACAACCTCCAAAGGGGTTTCTCTAGGAAGCAGATTCAACTGGCCCCTTCCCCCAGCTGGTTCAGGACAAAATATCTCCTTGGAGAAAAGTGGAAAAGACTCTTTATTAAACTAGAAAGCCTAAACCATATTAAACAATAAGACTTCTTTCCGCTCCAAAAGAGAGGCAAACTCAGAAAAATCCCCCGCCCCGGGCTGAAGCTCAGCTCACTCAGTCTCTTATCAGTCCCTCCAGCGCTGGAAGTGCCGCAGCCCTGGCCCAGCCCGCAGGGCCACAAGGTGCGAGCTGCCACTGCTCTTCTGGGTGTTCAGTCCAGAGCAGGCTTGAGCAGGTCCAAAGAAAAGGGAAAAAAATCTCAGCCCAGGGAACTTCTTTGCTTTAGCTAGCTAAAACTAACTAAAAGCAAAGGAGAGCTCTGTCCCGCCGTCGGTCTGTCCGCAGACAACACAGTCCAGGAGCAGGAATGTGGAGGAGTGAGTGCAGTTTCTGAAACAAACTCCACACTTCTTCTCCCCCCATTTCACTCCTGGAACAAGGCTTAAAGGTCCAAAACTTATTATTCAGCATAAAAAGAACTGATGATTGGGGATAAAAGCATCATATAGACAACCCAGGACAGGGTGTCATTTGGGAACTGTGGTGCATGGGTCTGGATCCGGCAGATCTCTGAATGCTGTGATCCTTGACTGTCAACTTCTGATCCTACAAGATTATGAGTGGGCAAATACAGGCTACTGGAGAGGTGTCTGCAAATTCAGATGCTGCTTCTGTAATCATCAGGTGTAACTTCATTGTGCCTGGGCCTCCACTGTGAAATGAGATCCCAGATAAATTTTGGGGTATAGATGTATAATCCGATGGATGTTTAATATTTTGATTGACGCTTAAGACCAAAAAGCGCAAGGCACGAGAGAAGTGTTACAGGACTGTATCTGATGGAAAGATATTGGCTTGGATATGAGTGAGAAAATGTAGCTGTCAAGCTTATCAGAGTGCTAACAATAAAGAAAGAGACACAGATGTATCATTCCAATAGAAAATCTTTGGTAGGGCTTTTAAAGTGCAATCTGAATATCCTGCCCTAGCAGCTGAGTTGGAAAAAGCCTTTTTGTTGTTGAAAGCGCCAGGAGGTGTAACATAATTTGCAGGAGACAGCAGGGCTCAGCTGAGCAGCTCGTGCTGTTTCAGAGAGGCTGTAGGAGCCCCTTGGCTCCAAAAGGAGAGACAGCAGAATTGGGGAGTTATGATGCAAGTGGAAGAATGACTGCTGGTGGTGGGGAAGAGGTGGCAGGGCTTCAAAGCACCTCAATCTGGGTCCTCTGCTGAACTTGGCTATTGTTTCACACAGAGCTTGGCCAGCTCTGTGTGACTCCTGCAATGGAAAGCTTAAGGACAATGAATTAGCTCTGCATCCTGTTGTGTTCATGTGTTGCATTTCCTCCTTCATCAGAGTGACCATGCTAAGAGGGTTTGCCTCCTTTCATGATGCACCCATTCCCTGCATTCTCTTTTTACCTCCTCATATGTTCTTTTGTCCTCCATTTTCTCCAGCCCAACATGCAGCAGCAGAAGCAAGGAGGAGAAGTGTGAACATGCAGGTAGGTACAGTGCATGTCTGTCCTAAAATGGCCATTGTAGTCTTGACTCATAGGTGACATTTGGAAAGCTTGGTTAAAACCCATTCTTTTTAACATTTCTTTAAATTTGTTTCAATTCCTTGATGGGCTCAGTGGACTCTCCCAGAGCCCAGTTACTGGGAATGTTCTCTGGTGGTGCAGTGAAAATTCCTCCTCTTTGCAGGCGTGACTAGTTCCTTTTTTTCCAAGTCTTTCCGGCGGTATCCCTCTTCACTCCTTCCCTCCAAGCCATTGCCTCCCATCTCGAAGATCTCTCCTTCTTCTAACACTAATAAAATGTCTGTTGTGGAGAAAGAGAATAAGGAAACTGGCACTGGCTATGATGACGACTGTAGAAAAATCCAGGAGCAGAGTTCAGAAGGAAAAAGTTATAAGGTAAGGAGACCAAACTGTGTTCTGTGTGGTAAATTTTCAGTTTATGCACTGAAGGCAGAGCTTGGAGACCTTTTCCTGTGGTGTGAGCCCAGGGAAGCAGTTGAGCCAAAGGAGAGCTCAGCTGGACACTGCGCTCCAGGCTGTCTCTGCAATGGGTGTGTAGTGCAGACTCCTCGTCCTCAGTGTGTCTCAATAGCAGGAGAGGTCTTTGAATGGTTTCTGGGCCCTGTCCTGGTTCCTCCTCTGTCTTATGGCTGAGAAAACACCAACAAGCAGTCAGAGCAGCTAACGTTGTCCAATCTGGACAAACTATCCTTCTGGATTTAGTAACCTTCAGGTATCTGTGAACCATGTCCATATCTTCGTGGTGGTGTTTTCTGTCAGCTGTGTCTGGTTTGGATGGAAAAAGATGTTTTCTGGAACAGGCAGTCCTGCAAAGTCAGGTCCAGGTTGTCTCAGCTTTTGAGCTGTACAGCCATACCCTCTGCACAGTTGTCTCTGCTGCTATTTCTAGAGTTCATCAGCTTCTGGGCAGCTGTGTGCTCTGGTATGGCTTTGTCCAGAGGGAAGGGATGGGAGGTGGCCATGGGGAGAGCAGCCCAGAGCCCAGCCACACGATTGCCTTTGCAGCAGGGCCAGGACATGCTGTTGTTTTGGGTTTGCCGTGGGAGGCAGGAGGAGGCAGATGAACAACAGCATTTGCAAATAAAATGTCCAATCAAAGGTTTGGGTACTTGATTTGAGCATTGCTGAGAAAGGGCCCAGTGTATCCCTGACAGGAACTGACCCTGTCTCTGAAGTTTGAACAGGTCCTGATTTGGCTCTTTAGCTGGGCCAGAAATGATGGGATATGAAGGAAAGGTGTGCATCTGCCCCTGCTGCCTCCACCCCCATTCCTGGCCATGGCATGGGGGCCCTGGAGGAACTTGGGCAGGCTGAGACCTTCCAGAGAGCTGCAGGGCAGGGAGCTCTGCTGAATTTCCTAAATGCCAGTGAGCCTGAGAAGATGGATGTGTGGGAGCGGGAGAGCAGGGAGCACCCTGAGAGCTCAGCAGCATCTGGGCTCAAAGGCTGCTGGGGAACTGCAGGAGGGAAGGGCAGCAGCAGAAGAAATGAGAGGCTTGAGAAAAGCAGGTTTTGACATGCTGCAGAGTGGCTTTGTGGGGACTTGGCTGGAGATCAGCACTGGCTGTTCGGTACCTTAGGGGCAGGGAGAGAACAGTGATCCAAAGCCACTCCCATGCCATCCAAAAGGCCAGAGGAGGCAGTGGCACCTCAGAACATTGAAGGGCTTGATGTCAAACATGTGAATGCCAGCTGGGAATGCAGCCACTCTTGGAGAAAACTGAGCACAAGGGGAGAGGTGGCAAATATGTGACAGGGGCTGTCCCTCACCACATCCCTTCCCTAGGTCACCTTTCCCTGTCCTAGGCCAAGCTGCTCCATACATTTGACTTTTCCTGCCAGGTCCCAGTGAAATGCATGGCTAATTGTCTTGAGGCATGAGTGGAGGCAAGGCTGGATGCTTGATCTGAGCACTGTGTTCTACTCTTTCCAGACATCCTTGCTGTATTCCAGTGGGGAGGATATGAAGAAGGGGTCATTGGGACCACCTTTGATCCCCCCCATACGCAAGGCAGTAAGTCCCCCTCTTGGCAGTGCTGCGGGGTCTCTGCAAAGCTCTCTGCAGCTGGAATTCCAGGAGTCCCAGGAGACGAGGTAAGCCAAGGTGTCTGCTGCTGCAGTGTGCTGTTCACCTCCCTCTTCCCATCTCATGTGGTTCTATTGCACAGTCAGGTGTCCCATGTATTTAGGCAAACCTCTGAGTATTCACCATTTTGCCCATCCATGAGGATCCAGCACAATGTGGCAGCCAACACCAATGTCCCAAGAGCAGAGGTGGTGGTGGGGAAGAGGACTCAGGGCTTCAAAGCACCTCAATCTGGGTCCTCTGCTGAACTTGGCTATTGTTTCACACAGAGCTTGGCCAGCTCTGTGTGACTCCTGCAATGGAAAGCTTAAGGACAATGAATTAGCTCTGCATCCTGTTGTGTTCATGTGTTGCATTTCCTCCTTCATCAGAGTGACCATGCTAAGAGGGTTTGCCTCCTTTCATGATGCACCCATTCCCTGCATTCTCTTTTTACCTCCTCATATGTTCTTTTGTCCTCCATTTTCTCCAGCCCAACATGCAGCAGCAGAAGCAAGGAGGAGAAGTGTGAACATGCAGGTAGATACAGTGCATGTCTGTCCTAAAATGACCATTGTAGTCTTGACTCATAGGTGACATTTGGAAAGCTTGGTTAAAACCCATTCTTTTTAACATTTCTTTAAATTTGTTTCAATTCCTTGATGGGCTCAGTGGACTCTCCCAGAGCCCAGTTACTGGGAATGTTCTCTGGTGGTGCAGTGAAAATTCCTCCAGTGTGAAGTGTTGAGTGGCAGGGGCTGGAGTGGTACCTTGTGGCCCTGGAAATGCAGTGCAGGATAAGGAAACATTTTTCTCCATCCTGCACATGCCTTTTATCACCCTGTAGCTTTTCTAGTGTCACAATTAGTAGGGAAAATGAAGGTATTTAGCAAGAAATGAGAAATGATCCCACTCCATCCTCCTGCTTTTGAAGCAGGACACCTCTGCTTGGGGCAATTTCTGAGCCGAACCCTTTGAGATCAGAAGGAGATTCATGGACATTTTCTGGGTTTGTATTGGCAGAAATAGGAAAACCTCATCTGACAGAATGTCCTTATAAATTTTCCAGTTAGGGAGAAAGAGCCTTCCAAATGGATGCAGCCTGTGCAAGGTCTGAGTTTGTCATCCTCTGAGAGCACAAGCCCAAAGGCACCTATGGCAGGCTGACGATGACAAATCTCTTCCCCATCTCTCTCTGCCTGTGTCAGTGTTGCAGGCTGAGGCTGGGGGAGGAGATGCCTTCTGCCTTGTCCTCCCTCCCTGCCTTGCGTGATCCCTGACAAGTGGAATTGTGACAGACAAAATGTGGTCTCTTGTGCATCTGGGTCAGCCAATGCTTTCGAGTTGAAAGCCTCAATGACACTGTTGTTGTTCCTCTGCTGTCTCTGGGTGTGTAATGATAGGAGAGATGAGACTTGAAGAAATAATTCTGCTGATGCAGAAAAAGGGATCAGATCCCCTCGTCCCTTTACTCACGGTTAGTTCTGCCAAATCCTGGATACGACCCCTTTGGAATGACTCCTTAATTGCTGATAGGCAGCTGGAATGCTAGGGTGTAGTATTGCTCAGTAGGTAAGGTGACATTTTTTCTGGATTAATTCTGGACTAGAAATGCCTCATCTCATTAAACCTTACCTTTCTCACTTTTATTATTGACCCGAGTATTCTACAGCGTGAAGGAATCCAGTTTTAAGACAGGTATTGCTCTCGTACTGCTTGGCTGCCATATGAATTTATCCTCTGTGAAGCCATGTAAAGAATTACTTCTCTTAGTTCTCACAGCTCTGCTGGAGAGCATTTCAGAATGACCTGCCCTCTGCTATTATTTCTATTAAGGAAATTTTGAATTTTCTGTATTAGCCAAGATCAGAAATGTTTTGAGGCATGTCATGTTTATGCTGGCTTTGGGTGTCTCTGCTGAAAAGCAAGCAGAGAATAACCCCCCGGAACAAGTAAGGAGAGCAAAAGTAGAACTTTTGGATGACCGCTTTGTTCCCTTCAAATACAGGCTCACAGAGTACTGGGCACATCTGATGGAGAAAGCAGAGCTTCTTTTAGATCTAACACATGGTGCCATTGTTTGTGTCCCAGCACTTCCTTTGTTCTAAAGAGTGACATAAAAATCCCCAAAGTATCAAAACCCAACCTAGAATTGAGTGGGACATGCAGAAACAAAAACGTTGAAAACTACTTTTGGAAGCAATCACTTCCTTGACAGTGTCAGATCCTAGAGACCACTGTGAATTTCCAACAGTTTGGAAGGAAAGGGATCCTGTAGTAGTGGGGAGGCAAGGGCAACACATGAAGTAGTAGAACCCTCCTCTCCTGGCTTGACAGCTCCATATTGTTCAGAGAAATTAAATGGATCCTAGTTTCATGAAAAATACAAAAACAACCAATCTTTTCAGTTACTAAAATACACTTTGAAGTCCTCACCCATTAGATGGGTGGATTGTAAAGGGGTGAGTTCAATGAACTCACTTCTTCTCTTGTACCTGAATTACAGCTTCTTCTGAGTCTACAAGAAAAGCCCAGAGGAAGAAGGGAAAGAGCTCTTGCTGTAAGCTAGGACCTGGGATGCCTCTGCTCCCAAGGAAACTCGCTGACCTGTTTGGCTTGGAGAGTCGTGTGCCCAACCTCGGCCTTGGCAATGGAGGTCTCGGCCCCCGGCCGGCTCAGGGGGCCTTGGCCCAGGAGCCTCAGCAGAGGCCACCGAGCAGCGCTGGCCCCAGGGTCACTGCCGGGGAGGACAAGGGGAAGGCTGAGCATGGCTCAGCCTCACACAGAGGTGAGGGGGGAGCTGGGCCGCTCTCTGGTGGGAGGAAGGGTCCTGTGGCAGCCCAGAGAGCCTGTGCACATTGCCAGGGAACAGCTGTGCCCTGCATGTGCCCCTGCAATGAGCTGTGCTCTGCCAGAGCCCCTGGAGCTGTAGGGCTGCTCAGCCGTGGGGCAGGGAGAGGAGCAGGAGGGTGCATGTGCAGCTGAGCCATTCCTGGGAAGCACAGGGCTCTGGGCTCCTGCTGTCCCAGGGCAGCCCAGAGGCCAGGCTGTTCCTGTGGCAGCCCTGTGCAAGTGGGTCAGGGCTTTCCCCTGGCCTGCCTCAAGTGTCTGCTGGCAGGAGCACGTTTCCCTGTGCAGCTGTTTAGAAATTGGCAGGAAATGTGTCCCATGAAATACAGAGCTCCAGATGCTTTAGGTTTGCATTGCAGCCTCTGTTCCATTTTGTGTATCCACTTTGCAGGCCTGACTGACTGCCATGGTCGCAAGGAGGTTACCCTGGGATCAGTAGTTTCCCTGCCAACTTTCCAGATGCTCTTATTCTGGGATCAGTAGTTTCCCTGCCAACTTCCCAGATGCTCTTACCTTCCAAGGCCTTGCCTTCCATCCAGAATTGCCCTCCCTCCTCAAAGCCCATATCTAACTCTCCTTTATTATTAAGCTGACCATTTTCCAAGGGCAAAAAAATCCTGATTTAAAACATTGGTTCTTTTCTACTGTGCTGCCACTTGATTTTATTCTCTGTGAAGCTGTTGTATAGAAGGATTAGTTCTCCAAATTTTAACAGCTCTGTTGAAGAGTATTCCAGAATGAGCTGCTTGCAATAAAAAATCCACCTTTAGTCAGGCTGGCCTGAAAGTGGCCCAATCTCATACAGTTTAGAATGAAAATCCTTGGGGAAAACAAATTATCTAGCGTCAAGAACACAGTTCACATTTGGGTATCGCTCCTGCAAGCCTAGGCTTTTCTTTGAATGTCTTCTAACATATTCCAACAAAGAGAAGAAAATGTTGATCTAAATGCATACAGGTATTACAAGCCAGGACTTTTAGGAACTGGAAAGAAGATGTTTACTAAAATCAGCATGAAGAAGGGCAGATAAGAATCTCTGTCAAGAGCAATCTCCATCTCTGCTCTTTATCAGACACAGAGGCTCTCCAGAATCCAGGGGCGGAGGCCTTTGTCATGCAGCAGGTTTCACTCTGCTGGCCAACAGAGTAATGTCATGGCCGCTAGCCCATCCCTTGGGAGAGGGCCTAGGCATTGTACCTTGCTGCTCTCAGTCACCATCTCTGTGTCTTCTGAGGGCTCTGCAATCTGGAACCTGTCTTGCCTGTAGCCCAGCATGGTGTTTTTGGGGGCTTCCAGAGATTTACACCAACCTTTGCTTTCATTACCAGGCCTCCCACTGAGCCGGGCCAAGGAGATGGATCACCCCAGCAGTCCTGGTCTTACGAGTGACAAAGACCTGAGGGACGGCTTTAGAAAGGTAAGGGATAAGGACAGGGATGAGCAGACTTCCTTTCCAGTGCCTGTTTAGTGCTTAGCCCAAAATGTCACTGAAAATCATCATCTTCCACTCCTGGAGCATGGGGATTCCCTTGGGAATATATTGGACAGTTACAGAGCAATTGCTTGGCTATTTCCAGTGGTGCCAAGGTCCCTGGTTTGGAGATGGTGCTAAAGTAATGCCAGAAGCATTCTTGATGTGCAAAGGCTGTTTCAGAGAAGTTCTGAATGACAGAGCAAGCTACACGTCAGTGCATGTAGGCAAAGTGCATCCTCAGAAGCAGAGAAGCAAAGATTCTAATATTGAGTGTAAGCAAGGCTGCGAATTAAAAGGGGAGAGTTTGATTTTTCCTGATTACCTTTCTGGCTGTATCTCACAGGCCTCTCGTTCTCAAGTTTTCTGCTCATTAGCATCAATGTTTCTGCAACTTGTTTTCACGTGACTCCTCTTTTTGGTCTCAGAGACCAAGTCCTTCAGAGTCCTTCAGAGCTGAGTCCTTCAGAAGCCAGGAAGGGAGAAACAGCTGCAATTCCTGGCCATGAGTGTTAAGCAACAGCTCATTAGCCCTCCTTGCTGGGTCTTGCACATGGTTTTTATTCTCCTGCCATGGCCTGTAGGAACTGAACTGCCTGCTCACTGGCCATGTGAGCTCTTCATCTGTCTTGCAGCACTCCTATGACTTTCATGCTTCAAGCAGGGCTTGCTGACATAGGTTGCAGTTGGAGCAGTGTAGGCTGTGGCACTGAAGTGTTCCACCTCACTGTGTGTAACTGCCAGGGTGAGGACGGGAGACATTCCTCTGAAACTACTGGAATGTGTATGGAGCTGCACTGAAGCCTGTGGCACTCTATGGACTCTGTGCTCAGGATGAGATGTTGTGTCTGCTTTGTGTGTCTCTGCTTACATTCTGTGATGTATTTCCATTGCAACTAGATCCGTGCTGCATTGTACATGTTGGCTCAGAAGAACTTAGAGCAGAAGGACATAGAGCTTTTGGAGAGAGAGATGAAGAAAAGGAGACAAAAGATAACATCCTTGCAGCTTCTTCCTGAGACAGTTGAGCCCGGGGATGCAGCTGAAACAAGTAAGTGGTGGCTGCACTTGTGGTCCTTTTTGACCACTTGCTTGCCCTTTGCACAGTGTTGCAGACTGGGGGACTGTTCCAGTTGCATCTGAGTGGAAGCTTGCGTACGATTGATTTCCATTTCCCAAAGAAAAATACAGAGGCATGAAGTGTATTGCCCATGGCCTCACTAAGTCAGTGACAGAATATCGGCTTTCCACCTTCACCTCTAAAGTCTTTCAGAGTAGAAAATTCTGTCTTGCAAAGTACACTGGAGCTTCAGACTCTCTCCTGGAGAGCAGCCTCCAGGGAAGGTGAGCCCAAAAGAATGCTTTTCAACCAGGGTGCAACCTGGAAGCAAGAAAATCCAACTCCTTCTAATGAAAACACCAGAGATCCTTCTCTGACCACTCCCTGCTGAGGAGCTGGTGCTGTGGAGCTGTGCTGAAGCCCCGAGGCAGTGTTCTGTTGTAGCCCCAGGAGCAATTCCCTGAATCCCGCCTGAGGGGCTCTGACTGCAGGGCTGTGAGCGCTGCCCCGAGGGCGGCAGCAGGGCCCTCAGGAGGCTGCACTCAGCCCGAGGGCATCACGCAAGGTTATCTGCACTTTCTTTTGGTAACTTCCCCTGCCAGCCTCTGAAACAGGAGAACAAAAGCAAAGCAATACTGGTTTTCCTTGTTTCTTAGGGGAAGCATCACTGCAGTTTGGTTTTAAGCTAGAAGAGGATTGATTTAGATTAGATATTAGGGAGAATTTTTTTTATAATGAAAGGGATGAAAAGCTGGAAGGGTTTGCCCAGAGCAGCTGTTGCTGGTCCATCCTTGAAGATGTTCAAGGCCAGTTTACATGGGGCTCTGAGGAGGCTGATCTAGATGAAGATGTCCCTGCTCACAGGGACTGGACTAGGTGGTGCTTAAAGGTGCCTTCCAACCCAAACTCTTCTAGGATTCTGTGATCATTGTCCCATGTTAGTGTTATACTTGGGATAGAGTGGTATACCATTGTTACACTTGAAGTTCTTTGGGATAACAAAGAGATGTTCTCCAGCTCTGGCAAGTTTTCTGGTGCTTTCCATCATCACCCTGTCCAGCGCCTTCCTCCTACAAGCTCCTCTTTGGTCCCTGCAGGCTTTAGCCTCCCACCTGCTGATGGCACAGCTTCTAGAGTGCAGAGAAACCACCCTGGTAGTAGCTTGAAGAAGGTCTTGAGGATGCAGGACAATGTGCCCTTACTGCCCAACATGCCCATCATCCATGCCGTTGGCAGCTTCCCACACAACTCCTCAGGTAAGCCTGCTCCATGACAGCTTTCTCCTGCACGGGTTTTTCCTTGCACAAGGAGCACAAACTGCCTCCTGCCTCAGCCAGCACAGCTGGGATCTTGGGTCCATAGCCTGTCCTGAGAATGAACAGCAAATCTACTTCTGAGTTACTCCAGCTTGGTAGTACTGGAGCAGTTGGTTCTTAGAGATCCGCTGGAAAGTTGAGCTGAATAAAGTAGTGTAATGGCCTGATCTCTGGCTTTTGCCCATCCTGATAGTCCAAACTAGAGCACTGGGGCCAGGAGGCAGCTGTGCCTGCAGGGATGAGCTGCAGGGCAGTCTGCCAGGGTGTGCTCACTGTGCTCCTACGAGAACCACCAGTATCAGTTGTCCACTCACCATCTGGGCCCTCTGCCTGTGCTGCTGTCCAGTTCTGCAGCCAGCTTTTCTGCTATCCCAGCAAGGGCTGTCTCTGCATGGCCGTCAGTGGCTGGGTGCAGTCGTGCTGCTGCTCCCAGAAGTGCCCGATGGCTCCTTGCTGCCACCATCCCACGGCCTGCAATGCCAGGAGGGAACAAGCAGTGCCTCCTGTGCCACCCAGCAAACACAGCGGCTGTGTGCAGCAGATGACAGGCAGGAAGGGCTGCCTGCTGCTCCCAGGCTGTTGGCTGCCTGCTGTAAATACTCAGCAGATCGTCCCTAGTGGCTCCTGTCTCTCCTTTGTGGGTAGCCTGCCTGTGCTGTGATCCCAAGTAGGGTGAGATAAGAAGGAAGCTAGGAATGATACTTGGAATGCTCTTTTCTAGTGATGGTGCTTCCATGTTCAGGATTGACCAGAA